CGATAAATCGCCCTCCCGTGCCTTCTTCTTCGCGGTCGCCTTCACGCCCGCTGCGATCTCCTGTCGCTCTCGGTCCGCCTCGCGCTGGGGGGGTGTTTTCTTCCGTTTAATCCGAGCGGCGAGTTTCTTCGCATCGATCCATCTTTGCAGGGCTCGGTGCTTGCCTGTGGTGTTTGGACGAGGAGGGTGCAGCACTCCCCCCCCGCGTCGCCCGCGGTTATCTCCCTTCTCCCGCGAACGGTGCTTACTCGCGTGGTTTTTACGAATCTCTCTGCTCCTCCAGCTTCGTGGGCCACGTTTTCCGCGACGGTGGTTACCAGGTGCAGTTTGCCGCTTTGCATTGCTGCCGCGGGGACAAGGTCCACATACACCTCTCGCCACTACCACCGTCTGTGCATCCTCACCGCCACGCTGAGCCAGCGCGGCGGTGAGTTGCACCTTGGGACACCACCCACCTACTATCTGTTGTGGCCTGGTTCGCCCGCGAGGGACTCACAAGGTCGATTTCGGCCCCGGCCGGGGAGCAGGCCGGGGAGGGGAGGACAAGATAGTGTTCGTCTGTTAATAACCTCGTGTCGCATGTCTGGCACGAATCTGAAGGGTGCTGTTTGTTGGAGCCGGTATGTTGATCTCTCGGCCTCCCGGCGTCTCCTCTCTGTTCGCAGTAATGGTGTCGACATCTGTCTCCGTTCATATTTCAGCGCGGACCGCACGGCAACACTGTCGTGTCACAAATTGTCAAAATGGTGTCGACATCTGTCTCGGCTTATCTTTCAGCGCGGGCCGCACATACATGCGGCCTGCAATTTGTTGTTGTTGTTGTTGTTTCTCACATTAGCTCTAAAAAAGAAAGATTGGGAGCCCGTGGTCTCAAAACCCGGCATACACGACCCCACGAAGAAACAGAAAAAAATAGGGTACAAAAACCACTCGGAAGAGAAACAAAATGATAGAAAGAAAGACCAGCTACCGCACCAAACGAGAAAGAGCGTCGAGGAGACCGATCAAAATAAAA